ATAAAGAAACAAGAATTATTGTTTGAAAAACAAAATTAAAGATAGACGTGAAATATTGGAAGTATTTAAAGATGGAAGAGAAACAAGGATACGGATGAGAGAGAATGAATTACAACGAAAAAAGGTTTTACGGATAAACATGAAGGAGAACAGAACAAGAAAGATTAGGATGGTTAAAGGTATTTATACAGTTATTAGGATATGGGATAGGAGAAAGTTATATCAGGATATCACGGTGTTATCATTTAAAGGGACTTTCTTGTAATTTCAGGTGACTCACCAGATAAAGATGGGCATTCCCGAGTTACAATGGTATCATTTAAACTTTTTTCTGATCATTAATTTGGAAGATATCGTCATTTTTCTAGCTTAAAAAGTGTTTTATTCTCAGAATTTACTTCATTGTTTCTCTACCAAAAAAGTAACATTAAATAAGAATCCGCAATTGAAAATAATCAAACTGGGGAAAGAAAAACAGTGATAACTCCATCCTTTTTGCGGAGGCAAAACTGTAAAGGGTAGAGTTGTGTATCGGACCATGCCCCACTTTTTTAATTGAATTTTCGTTTCCCCTTGAAATGATAAAGGGTTAACTAAAAAGGAATTAGACTATAGAGACGAATGTTTGAAATTTATTTCCTACATTTTATGGTTCACTGCAGCTGTAAACCCTTTTCCTTCTTTCGAATATAATTGAATACACCCCAGACAAGATTATATTTGAGAAAAACAAGATCAACCTTTTTTGTGTTTGTGTTTCAACAAGTTTAAGGTCGTCAGTGAAGTTGCACTCTCTGTGGGTAACCCTGTAACTCGAGGTTACTGGAAATATGAGACAGGGACGGAGAGAGATATCAGGAGAGATAAAGGTCAAACAGAAATATGTAGATCTAAGATCAAGATTTAATGGAAAATCATGTCTCCCCTCTCTTCTCCTGCAAGAAGCCGTGAAGCATAATGAGCAAAGGGATGGGAGAGGGGGCCATGATTAATGTTCAAATAACAAAACAAATAACCTTTTCTTTAGAATGGAAAAATTAAATATTGTTTAAACTTTCTCCACAAAAGATAAAGGGTGCCTTAAGTATGCATAATTCTCAATGCACTGCAGACTTAATTAAATCCAATATTTCCCCAAAAGTATAAAAACGTTTACGCCATCAGGTTGAACAGATTTAGGAACTAGACTAACAGAGATTGTGGCATTGTTCAGTTCCTTTGCAAAGAATTGTTTTATTTAATGCATAAAGCAGGAAAGAGGTTATATAAAAAAATTCAAAAAAATCGAAGATATCCCTTTTTTTAGTATTTGAACTACGGACTTAAAATTAAATATTTGATAAAGTCTTGAAAAATGTATTTAGCAACATTTGTCCAATGTTAATAAATTTAAGAATTAGTTTTTGTTCAACAGTTGTCCACACTCCCACTCTTACAATCTATATTAGACAAAATTAGCCAAATTAACCATGAACGTTCAAGAAATATAACTTTGCAAAAGAAAAAATATTTTGCGCCCACCTCTGTGTGAGATGTTTCTCATTAAAGTTAGTTGAGTTGAAACTTTTCTATTATAAAATTTGTTGTTTATCTTTCAAAGATAATAAGTTTTGAGAGGCTTTTTACAATTATTTCAATTTTCGAATTTATAAACGTTGTAATTTTTACTAGACATATATAATTTAAAAGCATACATTAGAATACGATGAACTTCCATTTTTACCATGAAAAGGAATTGAGTATTACCACAAAATAAAATCTTCTCTTAAAACTTCGTCCAAAACTGTATCAATCCAGGTACAACTCGTCAGCTATAAATGTCAACCGGGACACGAACTCTTAAGCAATCAATACCAAACCAATGGGCACAATCTTATCGGCTCTGAATGTCGCACAGGGACACAAGTGTATCTATCAAACAAGCTTTAATCGATCAATGCCAAACTAATGGGCACAATCTTATCAGCTCTAAATGTTGCACAGGGAGACAAGCTTAGCTATCAAGCTCTTAAGCAATCAATGCCAAACCAATGGGCACAATCTTATCAGCTCTAAATGACGCACAGGGACACAAGCGTAGCTATCAAACAAGCTCTTAAGCAATCAATGCCAAACCAATGGGCACAATCTTATCGGCTCTGAATGTCGCACAAGGACACAAGGGTAGCTATAAAATAAGCTCTTAAGCGATCAATTCCAAACCAATGGGCATAATCTTATTGGCTCTGAATGTCACACAGGGACACAAGAGTAGCTTTCAAATAAGCTCTTAAGCGATCAATGCCAAACCAATGGGCACCATTTTATCGGCTCTGAATGTCGCACAAGGACACAAGAGTAGCTTTCAAATAAGCTCTTAAGCGATCAATGCAAAACCAATGGGTATGATCTCATCGGCTCTTAATATCACAGAGACACAAACATAGCTGTTCAAACAAGCTCTTAATCAATCAATACCAAATCTCTTGGCACGATCTGAGTTCGTAGGTTTCAACGATGACTAAATTACTTCTATTGCCGTAATCAAAGCGGAGTCTGCACCAAAAAATTTATTTTAGATGTCTATGTTTTAATCGTCGTAAAGTTTTATGTCAATATATATATATATACAGCCTATAGTTTAAGTGTATTGTACGTATTTATAAGATTAGTCCGGATAGATATAAGCTTAGCTAAGCCAATCACTGATGTAGTTATAAGTTAATTACAATACAGGTTTACAGACGTAGCTAGGCTAGGCTAATCGCATTACAAGTTTTGCGTAGCTTATGATTAGTACATTTAGATTTACAGACAATGTACAACGTAATATGACTAGGGTATGTTCAGGTTAACAAATATGGGGATTGTTGTATTTACACTAATCCCTTTGATATTTCAAACTTAGATTATTTGATCTAACAGAATTGATGGTTTGAAATATCAAATGTCGACAACATTTGGTTGCAAAGATATAGAGGTCTTAAGAACTATAGCCAAACTGGGCAAGTATTAGCTCCCCCCCCCATAGATAATATTTTTTAAAGCTTTTTCTATTGTGTCTGTATAGTTCCTGTATTCATATCCAGATCTCATATGTGTAATTCAATCTAGTAGAACTCTCACTGTAACAGATCCAGGCTTAATTTCCAAAAGACGTTGCATCAATTTTCAAAATTGGGTTGCAACGCACTGGCCCTTGATTTTATCCTAATAACTTTTATGTACTTTTTGTAACCCAAGAAATGTACATTTTTGTACTATTAAGTACTTCTTTCTAGATTTAGTTTTGACAAGAAATTTGCAAAAATTCTCCCAAATTTTTAATTGAAAGCTTGAAACTTTTTGATCACGGTGCTATCTATAATGTAAAGTCTTATGTTGTCATTCATTCCTATCAAAAAAGGCCCGCTGTTTATAGTCATAAGAAGAGGTGCCATAGTCTCTTTTAGTCTCATCATAGTCCCTTGCAGTGGGATCTTTTACACCTTGCCTTTTACCATCATTAGCTGTATGCTATCTCTTTTATAGGTCAGTGTTGTAATAATTAATTCTAAGTTATATGTCCTCTTCATTGTTTTGAAGCAAAGTGGCAATCTTAATCCTTGTTATTCTTTTTAGAACTCTTTGGTTTCTGAGTTTTTTTTAGACAGCTTTGACTTTAAAGTGTCACAATTCCTTTGTGTTTATACTTCCTCAACTTACCAAGGAGTCACGCGCATGCGGTGTAGAACAGACTCTCTCTCTCTATCTTGTAATTCTTCGCGGAATGCGCGTAACTCCTTTGGGCGTCTGCCTCAGGGTTATTGCGAACAAAAACCCCCTAAATCTTGAAAAAACGACATCTATCTGTGTTGTTATTAATCTATGATTGTAGCCTTCTCGCTGTTCCAAAACTGAGAAATGTTTACCAAGCCCCCATCATATCTTTTTACATAGAACTGTAGCACATCAAAAGAAGATTTAAATTAACTCAACTTATATTTCCTAAATTCTCTACACAAAACGTTTGCACGTTCAAAGGAAAAAGAAGTTCGAATTAAAACAGAAAAATAAATTTAAATTTACTTTTTACTTGTCTTCAAAATTTGTGTAAATCGTATTAGTGCATTATAATAGCTTGTCAAGCAATTTTATTTACAAAACCTTAATTATATAAGTTATGAAAAAAAATAATTTAATTTCACTTAGGTTTAAAATATTTCTCGAAATGAATTTTTTTTTCACATAGATAAAATAGTAAGGATAAAAGATTGGTTGTAAAATGGCTTTACAAATAGGTGTGCAATGTGTAAGGTAGAAATCATTTATACTTAAAGGAGTTGAGTTTTTGCCACAATCTCTGATTTTCTAATCTCTATATCTTTGTGACCCAATGTCGTAGACCTTAGATATTTCAAACTATTAATACGTATAGATAAAATAATCTAAGTTTGAAATATCAAAGGTTTGCACCATCAGATTCCAAAGATATTGGAATCAGAAGATTTTAATTTGTGGCAAAAACTCAATTCCTTTATATTTATATTAAACAAACCCCCATATATTGTTAAATCTTTATTTGCTTGTCTGTATGTTAATAGCTGTTTGTCTATATATAAAATAAAGCTCTTCGCTCATACATATATGAGCGTGTATTGTAACTAAGGTATAGTAAAATCACGGCTGGACCAAATGGGCTGTCATTTTTCTAGGGAAGCCTTGAGTACCCCGGGGGTACCATACGCTAAAAAATTCCAAATCATATTTTTTAAATTCACAGGCAACGCTGCAGACTTCAGCTAGATATATCTAAAAAACGTTAAAACCAATCATTGTGTTGCAACTCACATGAGACATGTACCTGCAGGGAAGGTATCGAGCTATAGTCAAAACTAAAATATTCTGTCTGGGGAAAATGTCGATTTTTCTAAAAAAATCCACCAATGTTAACTGAAAAACCCACCAATTTTAACTAAAAAATCCGCGAAATTTCCAGTTTTACTTGAACCAAGAAAAATCGTGCAGCTTAAAATCAATAATTCACAAATACATTTTTAAAAACAAAAATTAGAAAAAAATAAAAATTAAATCTGGCCTTCCACAGACAATGAACACACGTCATAAAGGTAATTTTAATGGGGCCGGGGGGGGGGGGATCTTTCACTTTCCATGGCTTTCCTTGGATTGTTGGAAGAAAGTCCGTTGAAAAACTTTATGAGATTGGACATCGTTCTATTTACATCACACAAGATTTATTTGAGAAAGTGTCAGTGACACAAGTTCTCAAGTAATTTGTTGAAAAAGAAATAAAGAAGAGGACATTTACATGCAGGGCCGTAACTGGGCGTTTTTACAGGGGGGGGGGGGGCTTAAAGGGAGTGACCGGCAATGTACGGTAGTTGAACTCAGAATGTGGTATTGTGGAGAAATGTTTATAGGATTCATTTGAGACATTTAAAACGTTTTAATCATGTATAATTACTAAGTTTGAAATTATTAAACAGTGACGACAAAAATGTATAAAAAAATTTTCTACAGTAAACTAATTAGATGTTTAAGAACAAATTTCTCAGTTGAAATTTTCTCTAATCAATTATTTCTTTTTCAACGTTATATTGAATTTCTTATACTTTATAAATTTGTTCGCAGATTTCTTCAAATTCTTCAAATGTCGTCTTTTCAATAAAAATTACCAGGAAATCTACAGAAAATATTTGTGAACAATGAAACAATACAGAAACTAACAACTGAATAAGATTACTTTTTTTCAATGATAATAGTTAATTTTTATTTTTTCAACCTGTTCCTAAACAATTAATTAGTTTACTATAGAATTTTCACTTCATTTTTCGTCGTCGTTCTTGAATATTTTTTTTGAAAATCGATTCTCAAATCATCCCTCAAAAATGGACAACTTATGAGGATTTTAAAGATTGAATTTTCAGTTCAACTACCATAGCCGGTCACTCCCTTAAGGCGGGAATGGCCCGTAAAATGTACCAAATGTAGTTTATCAAACTAACAATTGTATTTTTGTTTTTTGGCAAAAATAATTTTTTCACTTTTTAATAGCATGGTTTGAATTTGATTAAAGTTAGTTATAAGAAATGTTAATAATTTAGATTATTGCAAGTCAAGCTTAGATTTCATGACATTTATATAATAGAAAGAAAATTTTTCCGCATTTTAGTTTGAATTTGATGCTATCCAGGGGCGTACGAGAGCATTTGTGTAGGGGGGGGGGAGCACATGTGCCCCCCTAAAAACACCTTTTCTCCCCTAAAAACACCTTTTCTGGAAAAATATTGATACCTTTTTTAACTATGTAAACTATTCGATCATATACACACTTCCATTTAACAAGTGTTAATAAATTATTTTTTTAAATTTTATTAATTGCTGCAGACTCATCTTATTCAGACACTTCTTCTTAAATCTGTGGTGTTAAGCTTCAATGGATGAAAAATAGAGATGAAAACGTTTCTTAAAAAATATCTACATTTTCATAGAAACGATAAATATTGTATAATTTTTCAGTAAAACTTGAATTTGTTGAAACTTTAGATTCCACATTAGAATCTTTGTTACCTATGTGTTCCCTGCATATATTTGAAAAATACAGGGTGTCCCTGCACATGCCCGTAGCCAGGATATTACTAGGGGGGGGGTGCAAAAAGGCACGCGTTCGCTGAACATTTTTTTTTTTTAAATTATTTGCTTGGTTTGTTTTTACAGTAGTATATTGTTTCTTTTTTATTTTATGCACACTATAAAGGCTAACCTTTTAACAAGTGTCTTTAAGCTTTTAAGGGTTACATTTTAGTGTTGAAACCATGGATATGTTGAAACTTTTCAGTTTACATATAAAATATACATAAAAAATAAATTAATGGTAACTTGAGGGGGAAAAAATCATTATTTAAAATCAATGCTTCCTGTCCCTCGGCAGCATTATGATAATATGAAGATGAATAAAAATAATACCAATTTCTAATATTTTGTTTATAAGAGTTTATTTATTGACATTGAGACATTCTTAGTGAATAGATTATATTTTGGTTTGGGAAAGGAATCAAACTTTTACTCGGGCTATTTAATTGATAACTAGATTTTAGTGCAAATTCGTCATTGCACCCCCCTTTCAGAAGAAAGGGGTGCACCTCTGTCCCCCCTGGCTACGGGCCTGGCAGTACATAGAGTTAATGGACGACTTTAAGATCGTCACAGATCTTTCAAAGAATTTGCAGAAGATGCATAAAGAATTATTTTAGTATCGATCTTCAAGATCTTCAAGTCCTTCAAGTCCTTCAAGTCCTTCAATTCCTTCAAGTCCTTCAAGTCCTTCAAGTCGTGTCTCTCAACTGTGGAGTTTCGTTTGCTTCATTACTCCGTTGTTTCAAGTTTGCATAAAAACAACGGATTTTAGGAGTTGATTAAAAGATCTTTCCATGGGTTTTCATGGGGTAGGGAACTTTGAAAAAGTTTGTTGTACATTTTTTTTTTACCATTTCCGGTTTTCAAAAAAAGTTTAAAATGGAAACAAACCCAAAAATGAGGAAACGGACCCAAAAAACGCTAGGAAACCGATCAACAAACTGAGAATTTATAAAACCTTTTTTTTAAACCTGGAGACGGACCCCCAAAAAAAGAGAAAACGGACCCAAAACCAAGGGTGTCTGTAAATACAGGGTGTCCCACGAAACATGACATTTAAAAAATCGTTTTTTTAGTTAAAACATCCTTTTGCTTCATTATCTTTTAATTTTAAATCAATTTTAATATAACATGACTCCCATATAATATTTTATATTGATCTTTGGTACCAAACAACTCAACAAATTATGGAAAAAGACATTCTAAACTATTCATTTAAAATTCGGTGATGGTGATGGACCAAACCTCTGTAGAGTAAAAAAGTAGATGTTATTTCCACATTTATTGAACTATTCACCAACTGTCATGTTTTGTGGGACACCCTGTAATTTAGGGATTTTTTAGTTGACGATGAGTCAGGTAGGTACAGTCCTACCACGGTGTATATGGGTGGAGGGGGGGAGGACAAACGTATTTTAATTTGTAGATTTAAAAAAAATATATTAATTTTCTTTTGAATCTTTCCAGATGATTCACATATATTTTAAAAATATTTTTATTTTATTTTCAATTTAACACTTTTAATTTACATGGCTGTACGGGACACTTCCTTCCCGCCACGGTAGCAGTTGCACTTCGCTTGGCTAGCGACGCCATTTTGTATCTGGGATATTACACACAGTACACACACACATACACACACGCAGTCACACATTTACATTTTACACGCCGGGGCTGGTCGTATATCTTTAAATTCTTCAATAAGTAGAGTTTGGACGGTAAAATTTGTTGCCTGTTTATGATCAAATCTGTTTTTTTAGTTTTACTTATTTACAATTAAAGCTTTCGTGTAGCATGACGTAATTATTCAGTTTATTGGATTATTTTCACCATGCAGTGTTCATTAAAATCATTCCCAGTTTCAGAAAAGTACTCAAGATGACGGATCGTATTGATATGAGTTTGGATGAAATCATCAAGACCAACCGCAGTGCACGTGGTGGAAGCAGGGGTAGAGGTGGCCGTGGAGGTAGGGGAGGACGGGGTAGAGGTGGTGGTGGAGGAGGAGGACGTGTTGAGGCCAGAGGTAGATCTAGAAGTCGGAGCCGTGCTCCCTCAGCTGGACCTGTTCAGAACGGAAGAAGCCGCAGCCGAAGCAGAGTTCGTGGAGCTACTGGAGCCCCAAGGAGAGGAGCAGGGCGAGGTGGGGGCCGGGGTGGAGCAGGTAGAGGAGGAGGAGTTATGAGGCGAGGGCGAAGCAGGAGCAGATCTGTTGGTAAGTTTCTATTTATTTAAAATCTGGTTTAGAAGGATGAAACACTAGTAAAGGATTTATTTTACTAGTCAGTGAGATGAACCAGTTGATCTCCAGACACATGAATTTAAGAAGCTCTAGCAGAGCTAGGAGTTCAAGTAGACCTAGAGCTAGATCCTCTAGTGGAACCTGGGGTGGAGAAGGTTTCTTGGACCGGGGTAGAAGTGTAAGCCGGGGCAGGGCGGAGAACAGGGGTCGAAGCATGAGTCGTGGACGGGAACCATCTCAGGGTCGTAGTGCTAGCAGGGGAAGGAGGGGAAGAGGTGCAGGTGCTGGTGGCAGAGGAGGAATGATGAGAAGTCGCAGTAAATCTGGTAGGAATGGAGTCTGGTGTTTTCAGTTTTTCACATAGCTTTAGCTAACCTAGTTTTATGCTATGCCTGTTACTAAACACGCTCTAACCCACTCAATTTTCATAGGTTTCGGATGAGTGACTCCAACTAGTGCACGCTTTTATTCAAATAGTTTTTCTGTGCCAGAATAATTGGCTTATAGTGTTTCATCCATGTAAATTTTCAGAATTTTTTGTTTTTGTGTGAACCCATAACATATAAATATATAACATAATAACTTTCTTGATTTCGTGTGAATTAATATTATGTTAACAGTCCTAGAATTAAAGGATAAAAAGGATTAACATTTAGTTTGTAAACGTGTCTGTCTGTAACCTTGATTAAATCACGTTTTTAGTTTGAAGAAATTGGTATTTTTTACAGTAATATCTTTACGTCTGAAAGCCATTTGAAGAAAAGCGATTTTTTTCTTTCAAGTTTCTCGAAATTCTAGGACGTTAATAAAGATAATTGATAAAGTATTCATTAATTATTAACTCTTCACAAATATGTATGACACTTATTTTATTTAGTGAGACGAGACGGTCCCAGGAACATGACAGATCCCTGGCAGCACGATAGGTTCACCGGCAGGCCAGCACTTACCACTGGAGGTCAGTATTTACCTGACCTGGGAGGGGGGGGGGGGGTAGCTCCCTTGTTCCGGCTACGAGCTAAATTAATGCAAGGTCGGACTTTGATGTGTGTCAAAATGAAAAACTCTGAGTTAAATATATACTTCCTCGTTTGTATTTTTCTCCAAACATGATTTTTTTTCGCTGAAAACTAAAAAGATTATTTGTAACAAGTTTTTTTATCAAAAAAGTTTTTTTTATTTCATATTTATTGTTTATTTTTACTCAGACAAGAAGTGAAATTCGTAAATGAACACCCTACCTCCTTCACATTTTTAACACTTTGTGAAAAAACTTTTTTGTCCTGTGGAAAGCACAAACACATTTCAATTAGGTGCTTGTGTGTTTGAAGGGAGTGGGGTGTCCTAGATATGATTTATTTTATTTAAACCCTAAATAAACTAGTTAACACCGGAAATAAATTCAGCTAATTTTAACTGCCACCTGTAGACTCGGATAATTATAAAATTCTGATATTAATAAAAATTCATATTTCTTATTTTTTCCACAGGACCTGGTAAACTGATGGTGTCCAACCTAGATTTCGGAGTTACAGATACAGATATTCACGAGCTTTTCAGTGAGTTCGGCCGTCTCAAGTCTACAGCTGTACACTACGATATTTCCGGCCGATCTCTGGGTACAGCCGATGTTATCTATGAACGTAGAACTGACGCCATCAAGGGTATGTGTTTAAATCTATTTATTACTCTAATTATTCTAGAAAAATCATTCCCCCTCGCTCCCTCTTTGAAAATATATTTTCCCCCACAGATGTTAAGTATTTTTTAAAAGCTTATTTCGCTGTATTGTTTTCAGGGAAAAATAGAAAATTTTTTGGGGTAAGTATAAAAAATGATTATTTTTCTTTTCACCCCCCCCCCCCCCTTTGAACATTAAAATTATCCCCCCCTGCACTGAGGAAGGGGGGGGGGGGCAATTCTTGGAAATATTTATCCCAGTATTACTCTGTATTAAATGCCTTTTTAATAATTTATTCTACTTTGATCCGTGAACAGATTTTCAAGGCCATCTCATTAAAAACATTGATATATGAATACATTTTACATTTTCAAAAATAAACGTTATATTACTTCTAAATATGTCTGCCTTAAAATGCTTTTATTAGAATATTTTTAAGCTTTTGGTTTTATAATTTTATGTTTTATTTAGCTCTGAAGCAGTACGACGGAGTTCCTTTAGACGGAAGACCGATGAAGATAGAGATGGCCTCCGACGCAAACTCCCTGAGACAACAGCCCATGGCTCGGCCCAGATCTGCCAGCGTAAGCAGAAACCGAGCCAACGGCGGACGAGTCATGAAGCGCGGCGGAAGTATGAATCGCAGTGGTGGAATGGTTAAGCGAGGAGGAGCTCAAGGACGCGGCCGAACCGGCGGAAGAGGAGGACGCGGAGGTGCAAGAGGAGCAGGACGGATCCGAGGAGGAGTTGGTGGCGCTAAAGGAAATGTGCGGAATGGACCTAAGCGGGGTGGACGTGGTGGAGCTAGAGGAGGGAAGAAACCAGCTCCAGTAGACAGGGAACAGCTAGATAAAGAACTTGACAGTTTCATGAAACAAGAGCGCTGATCCTGATCAATCTAAGAATATATCTGAAAAAATTATTACCATGTTTGATGATGTACATACCGCAGATGAGTGTTTTCGTAATAAAATTTGTTGAAGAGAATTCTTTGTTGTATCCTGAAGATGAAAGAAGTTCATCGACCTTCTTGAAATATATCGAGACCATAGTCTGCTACCAGGAGGTTGCCGGACAGCCTGATACTCAGATCTATTCTTTGGATCAGACCTTGTGGTCAATATTTCCCCCGGTTCAAGTTAAATATTCATTATGATCATATTTAGTACATTGACGGATAAGAAATCGTTAACTCTCTTGACTCCAGAAGAACACGCAGTCACCTAAAAACAGCTTCCTATTCCGAACCATCATAATCCTCCGTTGCCCCTTCACATATTCTCCCGCCAAAATCCCCCTCTCCCGTAAACCCTCTTTTCCTAAACCGTCAATTGTACTAAGGTCATTTTTTATGTTTAGTTCTGGTTTGGCCAGATATTTTTGCAAGGCTCTAAGTCTTCAATATAGGCTCCAAGTCTCCTTATGACAACCAGCCTTCATTATAGCTATGTGCCTTCTATAGGGTTGGCTTTATTATGGCTACACGCCGTTATTATGGCTTTAATCTATGCCGCTTATCACATCGATGTACGATATTTCTGTCGATCAAAGGTTGATAATGACAAACTGATGGACAGGGGGTCTACCATCTTAGACATCTTTTTGTCTCTTCATATAAAATAGCAGATCCTGAAAATGTTTATCACTGTTGCAAAGTTCAGTTCTATAACTTAACGGAAGAAACCTATACTTCCTTCAGTTGAATATAAATCAGTACTTCCATTTATACTTCTCCTTAAGCTTGAAGCTAGCAATGAAGACTAGCGGAAAACTGAACTGGAAGCTCAGATTGTTACAAGCTATTCCAGTCTAAACCAAAAATCAAGAAAGTGTGTATTTTTCTTGATACTTACTCTTTCGTACCTGTGATATTAGTTGTTGAAAAGTAGAAAAGCTTTCGTGGACATAAAGACCTGTTTAAAAACTGGACTCAAATCTACTAAAACATGTGTGGACAATTTACACTCAAATATGAAACCTGTAGAAAATCAAACCTCTCAAACCCTGTTCAGATTCAAGATTTACATGTATGTTGAGACAGAGCACTATTAAAAAGATATCAGCTTTTAAACGAGGCTCGACTAGTCGACAGTCGACACCGTACAGACGTACAGAAACACAATCATCTTGACAAACATAGAAACCTGATCAAACTGGAAAATCATTGTTGTGGATATGACGTACAACACAAGTTAGAGTAAACTAAACCTGAAATCTAAATGGAGTGAATAAATCTGCAGGGACACTGTTTAACAAGTTATACTGTGGACATGAAACAATTTGGTTTGGAACTTGTGTGAACACGGTTTTTTGCTTTTTAATTGTGTGCAGCTAGTTGTGCATTCTGTGAGACAAAGAAAGAGAAGAAAAGATAAGAATAGAAAATAGCTAACTGTACGTATTGTTAAAGCCTGGATCAAGATTTAGAAAACTGAAGTTCTGGCTTTGTCAGAGTTCGAGTTCATAAAAATCAAGGAAAATCCACACTCATTTATTCAACCTGGATAAAGATAGAAAACTTGATTAAGCTTAGTCGTGTGTTCATAAGAACTGACAGTTTACTTTTATGGATCATGTAAATAATGTATATAACTTCAAGTTCAAGCTTAGTCTGATAGTTCCTTACAAACCGAACTGTTAACATTGCTAGAAGCTGGATCAAGAAAGAAAACTTGTTCAAGTTTAGTCTGAGCCACTTTGTTCATAAAATTGAGTAGACTAAATTGTTCACATTTCTGGAATCTGGATCAAGAAGCATGTTATTTAAACTAGTTCAAGCTTAATCTGGGCCCTTATATCATAAAATAAAAAATACCAATTTATTCCTCTTTGGAGTCTGGATCAAGGATTAAGCTGTAACAATTGTTCTAGTTTAGTCTGAGCCCTTTGTTCATAAAATTACGAAGACTAAATTGTTCATTTCTGGAATCTGGATCAAGAAAGAATACTTGTTCAAGCTTTGGCTGAGCCTTTTGTTCGTTAAACAGAGAAAACTTAAGTTTTTACATTAGAATCTTTATCAAGGATCAAGATATAACACTTGTGCAAGCTTTGTCCGAGTCCTTTGTTCATAAAATAAAGAAGACTAAAATGGTCACAATTCTGGAATCTGAATTAAGAAGCAAGATAGATTAACTGGTTCAAGCTTAGCCTGAGCCCTTTGTTCATAAAATAAAGAAGATCAATTTGTTCACATTTTTGAGCCTGGATCAAGAAGCAAGATAGTTATTCTTATTAAACCTTGCACGAAAAAAGAAAATTAAACTGCTCACATTCTGGAACCCGGATTAAGTAAAATACAAGACAGAAACTGTTCATTAGAAGGAAGAAAACTAACAGTTCATCAATATGGAGCCTGTAAACTAGATAATTGGATGAAGTCTGAAACATTGTTCATAAAGAAATAGAAACAAGTTCACATCTCCGTTACCTGTTAGCTAGATATACAGCTGTTAAAATCCTAATTGGTGATAAGTGATCTCTATCTGTAGAACAGCTAAAATATCAAGCATATATGTCATGAAGTTTAAAATTAAGATTAATGAAGAATTACATCTTAGGTTTTTGTTCATATAGATATAAACAAGGAAACTGATCCCCTTTCGGGAACCTATTCACCAGTCTTTCACGCGTTACAAAATATTAAACTCAAAATTATTTAATAACCAGGGTGTGACACTTGATTTGATTGTCTCAAAGTTTTTAGTTACTTGATATTATATTAGTGCAGAACCATGCATGCACTAGATTATGATGAAAGATTGAGTTGGTGTTTTTTAAACTTTTTTCTTCAGTTTTGATTTTTTAGCAATTAAGAGTTGAATAAGTTAAGCTGACCTTTACCTTTTCAATGGATATTAAGTTTATAAATTGTTCCAGCTTTAATTTTTTTTTATAAATCCCCACGTCTCGAGACAATGGATGCATTGTCTTTTAAATGTGAAAGAAATTTACTAAAAAAGATTCGAAATGAAAGAAACTTTCTATTTCTAGCTTTTCAAGTTTGGATTCTTACTATTTTATCGAGGTGAACTTTTACATGTATTTTTTGTTTTCTCGACTTTCCGGACTTATCTAGTTGCTTCACTTTGATATTTTACTCGAATTCGATAAGCTTTTTGCCAAATACAAATTCGAAGTGTTTTGTTTACTCGAAGGGTGTAGTTTAAATCTAAAGATATTCCCCCCCCCCCCTATTGAATTTTTTATTTTCTTGGTATTGCGGAGCTAATTCAACTAGTTCCTGTTTCCGCCAAATCATATCTCTTTGTCCTGGTGAGATTTTGCGATTTTTTAAAGACACACCCTGTACAGCAGGAGACAACTTTTAAATGCTTAGTAAATTTTTTCTGTTTAAGTTATTCTATTAATTTCCCAGATCTTTCTGCATGTAATACATTTCAAGTTCCATAAGTCTTCTTTCAAAGCTTTAGTCTGTACATTCAAGAACATTGTTCATTCAAGAACGTTTAGCTCCCTATTTTACTGTTTATTTATGTTATAGAAATCATCAACTTGCGACAACTTGCACCGAATTGCCTCAAAGAGCAAACAAAGCAGACTAATGCCATTTGATTTTTTTTAAAGAGGATAACATATGTTTCCATTAATGCCACTAAAAAAAGGTATCCATCAAATCGTGTCTGCTTGTCCTGGTGAGATATCACTGGTTCCTAGAGATACACCCTGTATATTTTGGAGTTTAGAATTTTATGACAATTTGGCTCAAATGGGCAAAATTTCTGATTAAATTTAAATTTGACTTTTCCATCTGATCTTAATTCTTCCATCTTCATCCCAATCCTTTAATCTCTATCCTTTACATTCCCATCTTAATTTAATCGTGAATCAAATAGCCTTTACTCTTCCATCTTCATCCAAAATCTTTTTTCTTTACTGTATTAATTATAACTCTTTCTTCCATCTTCATTTAAATCATTGTAAACTCTTCTGTCCTAATCCTTATCAATCCACACATCCCATTTTTCCCATTTGCTCTTTAACTTCTTCAGTTATATCATAATATCATAATATATAATATCATTTTAAATTTTTTAACGTCTCTATTTTCCTACATTATTCAGGGTGTGTCTTACAAACATCGATATCTCACCAGGACAAAGATATATGTTTTGATAGAAACCTGTTTTCTGGTCCAGGATGTACAGACCTCAGTTTTGGAGGAAGAGTCATGAACATTTATACTGAACAATGCAGAAAGGTCTGGGAAAAGATATTAATGGAATAACTTAAATAGAAAAAAAGTTTCTAAGCATGTAAAAGGTGTCTCCTGTTGTACAAGGTGAGTCTTAAAAAAACTCCAATATCTCACCAGGACGGAGTGATATGATTTGACGGAAACTTGTTTCCAATCACTCTCATGCATGAGAACCAGGAACAAGTGTATTTGCTACACAATACCAAGTTAAACTTTTTTGCTCCTAAGGAACACTGAATTCTGAGGAAAATAGAAAATTTCATAAGGGAGGTAAATATTTTTCTATTTAAACTACACCCTTCGAGTAAACAAAAACTCTTCGAATTTGTATTTGCACGAGAACCAGGAATAAGTTGAATTTGCTCCGCAATACCAAGTTAAACTTTTGCTCATTAGGAACACTGACTTCTGGGAAAATTTCAAAAGGTGTGTAAATATTTTTCTATTTAAACTACTACACCCTTCGAGTAAACAAAAACTCTTCGAATTTGTATTTGCACGAGAACCAGGATTAAGTTGAATTTGCTCCGCAATGACAAGTTAAACTTTTATGCTCTTAAAAACACTGAATTTATGTATGTCAGTGTTTTATTCGCTGTGTTGGGGAGAAGAAACGATGTCTATTGAATAATAAATGAATTTTGGGGTAGAAAGTATTCAAAAGAGTGAAAAAAATACGTATTTGATGCGTATTTGATGTCTCAATTTTATATTTCTTTTTTTTCCAATTCATTAAATAATGCACCTCCTGTGTTAAAAATTATCATTTTTTAGTTTCAGGCGTAAAGCATTACACTTCCAATTTTTGCAATTATTTCTTATGCGTTTCTTCACTTCTTTTCGTGTCGAACAATCTAATTAGGACGAGGTTACATTTATAAATTTGGTGTCCCTAACTCCGAAATAAAGAATCCTTAAAGTACTGTTTGTTGAATAAAGGAGGGGGGATGTTATTAGGGTGCTTAATAGTCTAGTAGAAAAAATAAGCCCTTGTTAAAAGTCCAGACACTGATATTTAAATAGTTACAGGTCTTTAAAGCTGCAAAAAAGAAAAAAACATACATTTTAAATAGTTTCTGTTTTTTTAATGACCTTTTTGTCTTTGATTTACCCCGGTAAAATATTATTAGTATTTTAGTATTTATTTAATTTAAAAATTTGACTTTTTTAACCAATAGTTGTAGGATTTTAAAAAAATCAGTTTTCCAGCACATAAAAATGTGCAAAATGTCGGCTAAATCGGAGCCTGTGAACGTTTTTTCCCATTGCAAAATATATTCATTGTGGTTCTATAAATAAAAAATCGTGTCTATCGGACTATCTGTATTGTTGTAGACTTCTTAAAGATCAAAAAATCTTTTCAAGTTGTGATATTTAAAGTTTTTACTCTGCTCATGTATGTGATGCAGGGTGTCCCACGGAACAAGGTATGTAGCTTCTTAGTAAGAAGCTATTAAAGATAGTCTGATCTTTAAAATTCTTTGCGGCATTCATTCGTAAACCTGCCTGAACGATTCTTGAAACAATTGCCACAAAATTCTCTTATTATATTGCCCTTTTCGTACTTTCGATATTACCGGAGTTTGTTTAGAATTTCGTTCTAATCATAATTTATTGAATTCAACCAGAATTGACGAAATCTGAACAAACCTCTTCACAACTTCCGGTGACAAAGAAAGCACATAAAAGGCAGACCACATTTTGGAAATGCCAGGACATTTTTTGTTTGTGAATTATCAGGGGCGGATACAGGATTTAAGTGAGGGGGGGGGGGTGAGATTTTTTAGGAACAAAAAAATTAATAATTAGGAACAAATAATCGTGCTGCAGGCGAAATTTTTTTTTTACTTAAAAAAACTCAATAACAGACAAAATTAATGACCAAAGACTAAAAACCCATATTTATAAATTTTAGGAACAAAATAAAGGATTAGAACAGGAATTTAGGAACAATAAAAAGTTTGTTCAGGAATTAGGAACAAAAATAAAGGATTAGGACAGGGATTTAGGAACAATAAAAGATTGTTCAGGAATTAGGAACAAAATTAAAGGATTCGGACAGGGATTTAGGAACAATGAAAAGATTGTTCAGGAATTAGGAACAAAAGTAAAGGATTAGGACAGGCATTTAGGAACAATATAAAGATTGTTCAGGAATTAGGAATAAAAATAAAGGATTAGGACAGGGATTTAGGAACAATATACAGATTGTTCAGGAATTAGGAACAAAAATAAAGGATTAGGACAGGGATTTAGGAACAATATACAGATTGTTCAGGAATTAGGAACAAAAATATAGGATTAGGACAGGGATTTAAGGTGGGTCGGACACAGCTAGCAGGAACAATAATAGGAACATTAGCAATTTAAGAACCAAAAGAAATTATTAGTTATACTTAAATGCATGAAAATTAGGAACAATATTACAATTTTGATAAATGAGTATTGATTAAGGAACATTATACAGGGTGTCCCACGAAACATGACAATAGCAAGACGACTTGAAAGTCGTCTTTGATATTTGAATTTATTTGTGACATTTAGTCTTCTATCTACTTTAACATGTATGATTCTTGAAACATTATCGCATAATTCTCCTAGCCCTGGCATTTCCAAAAAGTGGTCTGCGTTTTTTTGCTTTCAATATTACCGGAGATATAAAGAGTTTGGTTCAGATTTCAATTTTGTTAAATAAAAGCAAAATTGTCGAAATCTGGACGAAATTCTTCATATCTCGGGCAATATTGAAAGCACAAAAGAAGCAGACCACATTTTGGAAATGGCAGGACTAGGGGTATTTTGTGATTATTATCTCTAGAATTTTACTTCTAAAATTAGGTTGACAAATAAACGCAGCAAATTATATCAAAAATCAAGACGACATTCAAGTCGTCTTGCATACTGTCATGTTTCGTGGGACACCCTGTACTAGATGTGAACAATATTATAACTTAAGTCTAGTTTCTTACAAATTTCTAATTATAAATTTATCGTTAACAATAACATTTAACAAATTGGGAACATTTTTTGCCTCGTAATCTCGGGGGGGGGGCGAATGTCCCCCCCCCTTGTATCCGCCCCTGTGAATTATTAACTCGATAGAATTTTACTTCTAAAATTAATTTTTACAAACAATTTTTCCTTTAAATATATTAAAATCAAAGATCTTAAGTCGTTTTGCTACTGTATTTTTTCGGAGGACATCCTGTATGTCTAAAATATTGTTTTCTTGCTTCATGATTCAATTTTAAGGTTATTAATAATTCTTTTTCATCTCTTTATTCAGAGTTAAGGTTATCCGTCAAAATGTTTGAAAAAGTTATTGCCAAAAAAGGTTGTATTGATCTGTACACTGTTCACACTGTACAGCTGGTACAGCGAGTACAGCATGGTTATAGTTAACTCAATTTTTATTAATTTCCTGAGAAAGGTTTCCTCCAGTATTCATCCCTGTTATAAGCCAGGTAGCTCCGTCCCAAACCCAACCTTATTTATTGGTGCGTCTCTTGCCAAACCAAACCATTACGGCCGGGTTTAGCTATTGTTTCTCCGTTCTTCGTTCTTGTCGAATTCAAATTAGTTACGTAGTAAATACAGAGACGTACTTGAAATGTTTAAGTATCAGCGTATATTCAATTCTTAACCTTCTCATCAATAAGAATTTAATCAGTTTTTTATTTAGTCTTCTAAACTTTATTCGCTAACTACAGACTCATTGAAGCATTTATATGACATACTCCGACCATTAGGAAAGAAAACATAAACAGAACTAAATATTTTTCAGACTACCCTCACTTAATCTAAAGATGGATGACCAACAGCAGTTCTGCCTGAGATGGAACGACTTCCAGACCAACATGGTCGCCTCCTTCAAGCATCTCAGGGACGAAAAGTCCTTCACTGACGTTACAATTGCCTGTGACGGTCAGAGCACCAAGGCTCACAAGATGATTCTCTCTGCCTGCAGTCCTTACTTCAAGGTACGTCAAGAGTTATTATATTTACTTTATTCATTAATGATTATTATCATTTTTTCATTAATAGTCTGGACCTTAAAGTAGAGCAAAAAAGAGTTTATCTGATATCAGTGTAGTAAAACCTGAAGTTTATGTACAGGATTAGGTACGTTCCTAGTATACGATTCCTATCAGCGCCCGGCCCCCATAGCCTGTCCTAGCCTCATTGCTCGGCCCCCTAGCATGTCCTAGCCGCAGCGCTTGGTCCAGAAAGTGTCTTATCTTAACCTAACCCTAAATATATACTAATTGTGTTGAGAATTGTTGAAATTGAAGGCCCTTCCTGGCCGTAGCGCTCGGCCCCGTAGCCTGTCCTAGCCGCAGCGCTCGGCCCAGGAAGTGTCTTAACTTAACCTAACCTGTGGCCGCAGCGCTCGGCCCCCTAGCCTGTCCTAGCAGCAGCGCTCGGCCCAGAAAGTGTCTTAACTAACCTAACCCATGGCTGCAGCGCTCGGCCCCGTAGCCTGTCCTAGCCGCAGCGCTCGGCCCAGAAAGTGTCTTAACTTAACCTAACCTGTGGCCGCAGCGCTCGGCCCCCTAGCCTGTCCTAGCCGCAGCGCTCGGCCCAGAAAGTGTCTTAACTAACCTAACATGTGGCCGCAGCGCTCGGCCCAGAAAGTGTCTTAACCTAACCTAACCCATAATAACAAAAAAATTAATAATAATAAATTTGCTGAAAAATGAACTGTCATGTACAAAATTTATAGGAGGGGGGGGGCTGGAGGGGGGGGCCCAAAAATCGTTCACTAGGACAGACCCAAGATTTACCCTCAAAGGAAGAGACCTCAGAGAGTGTTCGAAATTTATGTAAGAGATTTTTTTACAAATTTGTTCCATGGAACTTACAACTTTTGTTATCCTTTAATAGGTCATTTCAAGGTTATATTTAAGACAAAAGACCCCATTCAAATCATAAGATCGTGATATTTGTGTTTGTGTGACATCATTTACTTAAAAAATCTATTAGTAAGGTAAATATGGGTATGGAGTATCATATAAACAGTAAATAGACTCAACTGAATGTATTTTAGTTTTCTTTTTTATAAGATTAAACAGTGAATACTTCTTGATTACGATCTGTTCATCTTAGTTAAAAATATTCTTATTTCCTTCAAAATTAATAATTAATCTATACTAGGCACTACTGGAGGAGAACCCGGCCAAACATCCCATCATTATCCTCAAGGATGTTCCATTCCAGGTAGGTTTGGTTTAATTATCGGGGACTAGTTCTATTCAAGCTTAAAATCCAACCTTGAGATACTCATATCTAAATTCGATAGAATCGTTGAAAATCTTAGGATTTTCTGTGGTGTGGTGGGAACTAAGCTGCATCTACTTGATGTAATGTTTTAACAAATAAAGCTCTTTTATAAGAATTCAATACCAGAGAAAGTAACGTTCAAAATTCCAAGTGTTTTTTTAAAAATTAAGATAAATGAAAAATAATTTTTAAAATTCTTTTTGGTTAACTTATTTAAATGAGATTTCTTATTTCCTTATTTGCCTTAAATTTTGATTGTGGATCTCGGTAGAAACACGAGACTTTACTAGATTGGGGATCTCGGTAGAACCACAAGACTTTTCTAGATTGTGGATCTCTGTAGAACCACGAGACATTTCTAGATTGTGGATCTCGGTAGAACTACGAGAATTTTCTAGATTGGGGATCTCGGTAGAACTACGAGACTTTTCTAGATTGGGGATCTCGGTAGAACCACGAGACTTTTCTAGATTGGGGAAATCGGTAGAACCACGAGACTTTTCTAGATTGTGGATCTCGGTAGAACCACGAGACTTTTCCCAAATTGGTTGAAAAGTTTTAAGCTTTAAGTTTACTTTTACAGGGAAAGTTATGTTTACAGGCTAACCTGGGTTTCCAAGCTAGTATTCAATAACATTTTATTTTTATTTTAGCATTTGACCGCTATCCTGGAGTTTATGTATGCTGGTGAGGTCAATGTTGCTCAGGATCAGCTACCACAGTTCCTCAAGACAGCAGAGAGACTCAAGGAACCTAAAAACTTTCATCATTTTTGCACATTATTATTGGTTGTTCATGTTTTTGTGGTTTTAGTAGGATGCTTAATAGATTGAAACCGTCTTGTTAATTATTGAACTTGATATCGTTTGATGTAAATCTGATTTCAAATTCCGAAATTGTTCGTTTGTGTTCATTGGAGAAGTTTATTTATTTCTATTTTTAAAATATAATAGGAATTATTCAAAGCCTGAACAATTTTCTACTGGTTCCAGAGCGACTAAATTCATTTAACTGTTTTGATCTATTCAATATTTTATAAAATTGATTTCACATTTGACAAGTTTTGGTTTGATCAGGTGAAGGGGTTAGCTGAGGCACCACAATCCGTCAAGTCGGAGTAAACCTGGAGGAACCAACTCCGTCCCTGCTCTGGGGATAAAATCTATCTTTCCTATTTTGTGTGTTTGTTTTATAAGTACAAACTTTGTAAAAAAAAAATTAATGACACCAAAAATACATTTTCAAACATTGTACATAATATACCTTCTATCAGTTTGTACAATTTCAACTCCGGCCGAATTTGTACAATTCTCTTCTTTTCCAGAATAATATGCCAGGCAGACGGGATTCAAGTGGTTCAACAGACAGGAGACGAAGATCACGATCCAGAAAACGATCTCGATCTAGAAGCTCGGGCAGAAAACGTCGAGGATCACCGACTCGAAACAAAAAGTCGTCCCGGCGGTAAGATTTTCTTTACACTGCACAGTATTTTTTCGTTCTGATCTGTGCATAGGATGATCCATTGGATCCGTAACATTTAAGCACCTTTGATCCGGATCGTGTGTAAAACTCTCTAATCATTCAAAGGAATTTTTAAATCAATATAAAAAATAGTGAACGAATTGAAATTTGTTTTTGATCATAAGATTAGCTTATAAATTTAAGCTGGATCCGTATGCTCCAAATTAAAATGGATAATGAGAACTTCTGATAAAGAAATATATATTGCCTGCTTAAAGGCCCGGCGTTGCCCGTGAAAAAAAAAATGTTTTTTAAATTCGATTTTTTAACTTATAACCACCCCTGAGTGTCAACAAAAAAATTTCAGCCCAATCGGTCCAGCCGTTTGGCCGGCTATTGGCAACATATATATATATACATACATACATACATACATACATACATACATACATACATACATCAATACGTCCAAATGCACTATCCGGACAAAAAATTGTCTGACTAGCGTTACACACCATACGAACTTCTTTAATAATAACTGTATCACTATGAAAATTTGCAATATTGCTAAAATGTAGGTTTTAAACTGAATTTTAAAATTTCGTATCTCTAATGCCATTTTAAAAAATGACCACGTAGCGCATATCTGAATGCGTTTTGCGCTGTCAAGCCTTTTTCCGCACGTTTTGCGCTGTCACGACATTTTATTTTCTTTCATATGTACGCTGTCTGGACATTTTTTTTTAGTGGTGTATCAAAACGTATTTAATCGAAAACTATCTTATATGTCTAATTTCATTTCTAGTCAGAACATTATCATCGACGTAATAGATGAATCTACACCTTGAAAAAGGTTTAATACATAATATAATGTAGATATCTTTATTAAAGGGTAAA